TCACTATCGCCCTATACATGAACTCGGTTTTGCACATCAAACAAAGAAAATAGTTTTGACATTTTGAGTCAGAACTGTGTTTCATATTAAACCAAAAACAATAGTTTGAATCAAAACGGTGATTTCAATCAGTCCGGAGCTGATTTGTGCGGCATTAGGAAATGGCTTTTGAGTAGGATTGTGCCTGCTTTGAAAATGATTTTCAAAAAGCACCTCAGGTTTTGTGGGATCAGATAGCCTCTGTCAGGGTTCCAAGTAACACCCCCAACGAAAGAAAACTCCGAGGCTTGAGTTTCCTCAAAGTTCCGTTTTATAACGGATGTCATATTGGCACATCTAGGAAAACCCGAATCTGAAAGCTTCCAGGTTTTCCCCACCCAAAGAAAAGTTTAAGTCCCTGCCCAACACCCACATGTCCATCCCATGGTCCAATTCAATAGTGGAATTCAATTTTTTTACTACCGGTTCTGTGGCTACTGGTTTGGTGGGTGTGGCAGGGGAAGGATACTGCAAAATCTCCATTCCCACCCCACTCCAGGGGAAGGATCCTGCAAAATCCCCATTCCCTCTCCACTCCAGGGGAAGGATACTGCAAAATCCCCATTCTCACCCCACTCCAGGGGAAGGATACTGCAAAATCCCCATTCCCACCCCACTCCAGGGGAAGGATACTGCAAAATCCCCATTCCCACCCCACTCCAGGGGAAGGATACTAAAAAATCCCCATTCCCACACCACTCTGGGGCCAGCCAGAAGTGGTATTTGCCAGTTCTCTGAACTACTCAAAATTTCCGCTACTGGTTCTCCAGAACCTGTCAGAACTTGCTGAATAGCACCCCTGGTCCAATCCAAGTACTATCCCAACTGGAGATGCCTCCCAGTCACACCCCTCCAGGTGCAGGTCAAGATGTCCTTGACTCTCTGAGAAAGGAGTGTTATTATGACTATATATCACCCTGGCTCCATACAATCCCCCCTCCCAGTTTCCCACAATAGTAAATGTGGCAGGCCTGAAGATTCAATGAAAAAGATGGCTTCCAGACCCGACAGCCTCCTTGGTTTTTTTTGTCAAAGCCCTTTGACTTTTGTGGGGCTTCCAAACAAGTCTGAAAACAATGGATAAGGTTAGACCAGTGGTGAAATCGAAAATTTGTTACTACCGGTTCTGTGGGCGTGGCTTGGTGGTGGTAGTGGTAATATGACTGAGTGGGCGTGGCCATTTTTTTTTTTTTTACTTTTAAAAGCATTTTTTCTACAACCTCTTCGGCGAAGAGGTTGTAAAAAAATGCTTTCAAAAGGCTCTGGCAATCCCAGCTGAGTTGCCTGATCGGCAGAGACTTTTTTTCTTTGAAATGCCTCTGACGATCAGGCAACTCAGCTTGGATCGTCAGAGGCATTTAAAAGGAAAAAAAAAGGTTTTTTTCTTTTAAAAGCCTTTGATGATCCCAGCTGAGCCACGCGATCATCAGAGGCTTTTTTTTTTTTACTTTTAAAAGCATTTTTTCGGCCGAAGAGGTTGTAGAAAAAAATGCTTTTAAAAGTAAAAAAAAAAAAAAAAGCCTCGGGGGGGGGGGGGGAGGCGCTGGGGGGGGGGGGGGGGGGGGGGGGGGGGAATGGATTTTTGCTACCGATTCTCTGAACCACCCGCCTCCATCCCTACTGGATCGGGCGATCCGGTCTGAACCGGGAGCATTTCACCCCTGGGTTAGACATCTAAGAGACTTGTCCTTTATCAAATGCACTTACAGACTTTCATCTGTCTGTTTAGTGACCGTTTGAAGTTCTAACAGCACTGGAAAAAAGTGACTTATGACCATTTTTCTCCCTTACCACCATTGCAGCATCCCCATGGTCACATGATCAACATTCAGATGCTCAGCAACTGACTCATATTTATGACGGTTGTAGTGTCCCAGGGTCCTTTTGCAACCTTCTGACAAGCAAAGTCCATGAGGGAGCCAGATTCACTTAACAACCTCATTACTGATTTAACTGCAGTGATTCGCTTAAGAGCTGTGCCAAGAAAGGTTGTAAAATGGGGTAAAATTCATCAAACAAAATGTTTTGCTTAGCAAAAGGAATTTTGAGCTCAATTGTGGTCGCAAGTCGAGGACTTGCTGTATTTGTTCCATTTATATAGCTACCCATCTCACAAACGTGACTCTAAGCAGCTCACAATGTAAGGAACGCAAAAGCAATACAAAAATGTAACCAAAATCCTAGCCACAAAAAGCATTTTAAAACCCAGGGAAAACAGTAGAGTCTATTAAAAACCATGAATAAATAATCTGCAAGAGTGCAATCTAATATACTAACAAAAGACCCATCTAGCAGGCTTCAAACCACCCACAAATCAATCAAAGGCCCTCCCAGCCAAGAATGAATTATCAGTGGAAATAGAAATGTAATGTCTTTGTGTGATCTTGGTGTTATAATTAAAGTTTTCTTAATGAGATTAATAGTCATTGTCAATTATATTGTTTAGAGCCTTCACTCAGATGCAACATATACAGTGTGTATATATATATATATATATATATATATATATATATATATATATATATATATACACACACACACATACATACATACATACACACACACACGCACGCACACACACACACACACATACATACATACATACATACATACATACATACACAAATGACTTGTTAAAATTATCCAACAAATTCATGAACAGAAGACCTGGGTGAATCATTGTTCCGGCGTACAACAAAATCCTTCAGTCATTTTTCAAAGGTACCATTTTGCTAAAGGGGAACCAGAGCCACCACTTCCAACAAAAGCCCCCTTGAAAAAGGCCTTTTTTTGGAGGTTATCCCTTGAGATTAGATGGAAACGTGAGAAGCCAAGGAGGCTACAGATTCTTCAGGGAACACAAGAACACAAGGCCTAGTGGACAACCATTTAAATATGAGCCAGCCATGTGCAGCAGCTGCCAAAAAAGCCAACACAGTTCTAGGCTGCATAAGCAGAGGGATAGAATCAAGATCACGTGAAGGGTTAATAACACTTTATAAGACCTTGGTAAGGCCACACTTGGAATACAGCATCCAGTTTTGGTCGCCACAATGTAAAAAAGATGTAGAGACTCTAGAAAAAGTGCAGAGAAGAGTAACAAAGATGATTAGGGGACTGGAAGCTAAAACATGAAGAACGGTTGCTGGAACTGGGTATGTCTAGTTTAATGAAAAGAAGGACTAGGGGAGACATGATAGCAGTCTTCCAATATCTCAGGGGCTGCCACAAAGAAGAGGGAGCCAAGCTATTCTCCAAAGCACCAGAAGGCAGGACAAGAAGCAATGGGTGGAAACTTAACAAGGAGAGAATCATCCTAGAACTAAGGAGAAATTTCCTGACAGTGAGAACCATTAATCAGTGGAACAACTTTCCTCCAGAAGTTGTGAATGCCCCAACACTGGAAGTTTTTTAAGAAGATGTTGGATAATCATTTGTCTGATTTAGGGTCTCCTACTTGAGCAGGGGGCTGGACTAGAAGACCTCCAAGGTCCCTTCCAATCTATTTCTGATTCTAAATAAGCAGATTTTTTTCCCCCCTTCTATCTTTGCAAGCTTGAAAATGTAAAGTTCCCGATAGAAAATTCAGCTTTGCTCAGGAAATCCAAAAGGATTTGGTAGTGCTGTATACATTGCCTTTTCCGGTTAGCATTTTATTAGTTTGGATATCATCTCAACCAGACCTTTGGCGGTTTTGAATCCAGCCTGGCCACCTACCCACCCATAATAATAACTCAGCAGATCCTGTTCATGAACTCATTTTTACATAGACCAGAAGTCAGCACCAACGCTTGTAGAGGACTAGAGTTGACGAGCGTAAATATATCCCCAAATACATGCACTTGACATATTGCCAGCGTTGTGGCAGCCAAAGATGGCACTTTAGCACTGAAGTACCCCCACAGGAGGGGAAACAGGAAAATATCCAGAAAGGTCAATGGGCAAAACATGGAGCTCAATCAAACGATTATGCAAACAAGACTGAGTCGTTGAATGTGAGCCAGCAATTGCTCCAGCTGGGAAGGATTGTTACTCCAACCTTACAAGGGATTTTTTTCCCCCTGCAGCTCTCTCACTTGTGTGCTTGCTGATGATCAAGAAGAGAGGGGGATCACTGAATCTGCTCCCTGATCTGGGGCTACTCCTGCTGGAAAAGTAAGCTTTGGAGATGCGCTATTTCTATGGATAATCCAAGAATATACAGGTAGTCCTTAAATTAACAACAGTCCATTTAGTGGCCTTTCGAAGTTACAACGGCATAGAATAGAATAGAATAGAATAGAATAGAATAGAATAGAATAGAATAGTTGGAAGGGACCTTGGAGGTCTTCTAGTCCAACCCCCTGCTTAGGCAGGAAACCCTACACCACTTCAGACAAATGGTTATCCAACATCCTCTTAAAAAATTCCAGTGTTGGAGCATTCACAACTTCTGGAGGCAAGTTGTTCCACTGATTAATTGTTCTAACTGTCAGGAAATTTCTCCTTAGTTCTAGGTTGCTTCTCTCCTTGATGAGTTTCCACCCATTGCTTCTTGTCCTGCCCTCAGGTGCTTTGGAGAATAGCTTGACTCCCTTTTCTTTGGGGCAGCCCCTGAGATATTGGAAGACTGCTATCACATCACCCCTAGTCCTTCTTTTCAAGTGACTTCTGTCCATTTTTCACACTTAGGACCGTTGCAGACTACCCATAGTCATGTGATTTACATTTGGACACTTGACATGTGGTTCATATTTATTTATGAGGAGGGTCACGTGATCCCCTTTTGGACCTTCGGACAAGCCAAGTCAACGGGGAAGCCAGATTCACTTAACAACCGGGTTACTAATTTAACAACTGAAGTGATTCACTTAACAAAGGTAGCAAGAAAAAATTCTAAAATGGGGTAAAACTCCCTTAACGAATTTCTCCCTTAGCAACATAAATTTTGGGCTCGATTGCAGTCGTAAGTCGAGGATTACCTGTACAGTATCTTCATCCTTTTCCTAGGTTGGGTTGAGTAGGAAACGAAGCCAACGAGGACATTCTGCTCCTAAACAAATAAGTAGATAAAAATGATAATCTGTATGTTTTAGTTTACACTCCTGTTCACTCGGTCTAGACATTTCATACCCAAGCCAGGAAGTCTTTATGCAATGCATAACAATCAAAGCCCAACAACTTTTTTCCCTTTTCCCTTTTTTTTTTTTTAAGGGAAGAATTTATGCAAGCATATCAAGTTGCCAAAAATAATTGGGAAGGACAATAATTTGGGGGCAGGATAGTCTTCTCTTTTGCAAACAGTGTGGGGTTTTTTTCCCCCCTTCCTCGTCTCTCATCTACTCACTGTCCTGATGGTTACAATTCTCCAACACCAACAACAATCCCCTGGACAGAAAGACTTAGAAAGTTAAATGAGCTTGGGGACTTTGAGAGCAACGCTGCATTAATTTGGATGAAGTATGCTCGCTGGTGATCTGGCAGCCTCTGTTAACTGGATGCTGAAGCTTACAAAACTGCAAAGACCCATGAATAAATAAGAACGATGGTGTCTGAAGGAGGGGGGGGGGGAAACCACATATGCCTCATGAAACGCAGGACTTGCTGTATCCTTTTAACTTGAAATGATGCCATGGTTCCATTCACATGAGTGCCCCTCCCTCCTAGTTCAGAAGTGACTAAGCATTGGAGCTTGGAAAAGAGGTAAGCTTGGATTAAAGGATCCAATTCATTCCTTTCACTCGGGGAAGTCACCTTGGATGCCCTCTGAAGACTTAAGACAGGCTTCAGAGGGCAGATGACAAATGGCAGAGGGCAGATGACAAATGAATAAAATAAAGGAAACCAGGCTGATACTTATATAAGCTTTCAAAACATCTCCTGAATATTTTTCTGCTGGAGATCCAGCATGGATCACCATCTCCTCTGGTTTTCTGACTTTGGAAGAGGTGAATTCTTCCTCCTTCCCTTCCCTTCCCTTCCCTTCCCTTCCCTTCCCTTCCTTTCCTTTTGCAATAATTTCTGAAACAAATATTCTTTAATCAAACTGAAAGAAAACTGGCAGGAAAAAAATCCAGATAATGTATTTGCTCCATAGATATGGATGATAGATGATAGATAGATAGATAGATAGATAGATAGATAGATAGATAGATAGATAGATAGGTAGGTAGGTAGGTAGGTAGATAGATACTGTGTTTTCCCGAAAATAAGACCCTGTCTTATATTTTTTTTGAACCCCGAAACAAGCACCTGGCCTTATTTTCAGGGAGGTCTTATTATTTTGGGGCATGTGGAGGAAACCAGAGGAAATGGCGGGGACCGGCTGTGCATGCATTTAAATATTTTTGGGGAGGGCTTATTTTAATGCATGCGCTCAAAAGTCCGATTGGGCTTATTATCAGGAGATGTCTTATTTTTGGGGAAACAGGGTAGATAGATGGATGGATGGATGGATGGATGGATGGATGGATGGATGGATGGACAGACGCATGGGTGGGTGGATGGATGGATGGATGGATGGATGGATGGATGGATAGATAGATAGATAGATAGATAGATAGATAGATAGATAGATAGATGGATGGATGGATGGATGATAGGCAGGCAGGCAGGCAGACAGACATGGATAAGCAAATATAGATATAGATAGATTATATTTATCTATCTATCTATCTATCTATCTATATCTATATCTATATCTATATCTATATCTATCTATCTATCTATCTATCTATCTATCTATCTATCTATCTATATATCAGGGACGCGGTGGCTCAGTGGCTAAGACATTGAGCTTGTCAATCGAAAGGTTGGCAGTTCAGCAGTTCAAATCCCTAGTGTCGCGTAACAGCTTGAGCTCCCATTACTTGTCCCAGCTTCTGCCAACCTAGCAGTTCGAAAGCATGCAAAAAATGCAAGTAGAAAAATAGGGACCACCTGTGGTGGGAAGGTAACAGCATTCCGGGCACCTTTGGCGTTTAGTCATGACGGCCACATGGCCACGGAGATGTCTTCGGACAGCCCTGGCTCTTCAGCTTTGAAACAGAGATGAGCACTGCCCCCTAGAGTCGGGAATGACTAGCACATATGTGCGAGGGGAACCTTTACCTTTTATATCTATATCTGTCTATCCATAACTGTGTGTTTGTGTGTTTGTGTTTGTGTGTGGAGAGAGACAGACAGGCAGGCAGGCAGACAGATGATAGATGGAAAGATAGATAGTGATAGTAGGTTAATTAGAGCACATCCCCATCTCAACCGGTAACCAGGATTGATAACCCTGCTAGCCAGATCTGACTCTTATAATTTCCTTTCCCGGCACCCCCAACTTCTAGCCTCTCTGCATTAATTTCCAAACCTGCTCTCGGAAAGCCTAGCCGTAAAAATGCATATGTAAATCTCCGTGCACATTTCCCCCAATGTATGAAAAAGTCCAGCTCAGTATAAACTTACATTACGTATTCATGTCAGTGAGGGAAGTGTGATAAGACAAGGCACTTTTCTACACTACAAAGACCTATTGAAATAATAAAGAATTGCATGCCAAAACATCTACGTCTTTAGTAACTCATTCTTAAATGATGCCTTTGTTCCATAAAGACCTGGGGCATTTCTACCAAAACAGCTGAAACTGCCTTCTTCATAGCCAGGGTGAACCTTTGCAACAAAAGGATGTTAACCTTATTCTACTCTCTGGCCTTGGGCAGGCTTTGGTTTAATTTAAAATAAGTCTTTGGTTTCCAAATCTGCAGCAACACAAAATTGTTTCCCCTTAGCCATTTCGCTCAGCTTTATTTATTTTGATTGAGTCTTTTTATGTCGGCCCTGAATTGTTTATGAGATTCTTTCTTCCTTTCTTTCATTTACCACCACTTACAAGAAGCCTGGGTAAAGCGAAATGAACGGCTCGCTTGGAAAGACGCGTGCTAGCTAGGTAATTAAAAGGGGTGATGTGCTGGGATGGAGTGGACATCTTTTTCTGTTCGTCTGGTGGCTTGGAAAGAAAAGCAGATCTTTTCTTTGGAGAGCAGAGTCCTCTATCTTGAAACACACGACCTTGTAGATGACCCTCACTCTGTCAAGGATCTTGGAATATTCATCTCTAATGATCTAAGTGCCCGAGCCCACTGTAACAACATTGCCAAAAAGGCATTAAGGGTTGTAAACCTAATCTTGCCTAGCTTATTCTCTGGTAATATTGTACTACTAACCAGACTTTACAAAACCTTTGCTAGACCAATTCTCGAATGCAGCTCATCTGTCTGGAACCCGCGCTGCATATCAGACATAAATACAATCGAGAGAGTCCAGAGATATTTCACAAGAAGAGTCCTCTACTCCTCTGCTCGCAACAAAATACCTTATGCCACCAGACTTGAAATTCTGGGCCTAGAAAACTTAGAACTACGCCACCTTCGGTATGACCTAAGTGTAGTACGTAAAATTATCTGCACAATGTCCTACCTGTCAATTACTATTTCAGCTTTAACCACAACAATACATGAGCACCCAGTAGATACAAACTTAAAGTGAACTGCTCCAAACTCGATTGCAGAAAATACGACTTCACCAACAGAGTGGTCTAGGCCTGGAATGCACTACCAGACTCTGTGGTTTCATCCCAAAACCCCCAAAATTTTAACCTAAGACTCTCTACTGTTGACCTCACCCCATTCCTAAGAGGTCTGTAAGGGGCGTGCATAAGCGCACCAGCGTGCCTACCGTCCCTGTCCTAATGTTTCCTCTATTTGTATTTATTTTATGTATTCAATTCATGCTTATACTTATATATATTACCTAATATGTTCTTGGCAAATAAAAATAAAAATAAAATAAAATAAAATAAAATAAAATAAAATAAAATAGCTGACAATCAGAGGGATAAAGACAATGTTCACCACAGGGATGATAAAAGTTAGAAGCCCAAGAAGGTTCTTTCATCATTGAATGTATCGGGCTTCCGTGGACTGCACCATCCAGCTGATGGGGTTTCATTCTTCTTGGCAAATCACAAACTTGAGCTAATGTATATGCAAACAAAGGCGAATATGCATCTTTTTTTAATCCCCCCATAATCCTTTGCAGGGTGGAGTCTGGATAACTGAATGGAGCCGAGTGTTTTTTACTGGCCGGATGCCCTTCCTGTTGCCAATGCAGAGTTTTGTTCAGCAGATATATTCTCATTGTGCCCAGAGAGAGAAATATCTGCCTCTACCTAGGATCGAACTCACAGTCTCCTGATTGTGAGAGCTCCACCTTTAGGCCACTGCACCTCTCAAAGGCGAATATACATGACTCAGGATAATGTTGCAGGATCCAATCTGGGTCGGTCACTGGGACCAGAGGTTTAGTCTTTCGGACATGCTGGAACCCATCCTCAGGGAACTCCTCTTTAGCAGAGTGTATGCTTTGGGCTGTTCTGTGTGTGGTGTTTATATGATGCCCGGTTTCGTGTGGCTCATTAGTTGTTGGTTGGGGTGTTTTATATATAATCTATATAAATCAGTCTGCTTAGGTACAATAGTCCTCAATTTATAACCACAACTGAACCTGGAATTTTGGTCATCAGTCATTGCAGTCATTAAGCAAGGTGCCCCTGTGACTGCCTTGCTCAATGACTACTATCATGGAGCTTCCAACTGTAGTTGTTAAACGGAGAGCAGGATTCTTAAGGTGTGGGGAAGGTCCAGAGGCATCTTCAGCTGGCCACAGGGCCTACAGGGTCCCACAGGCCTTGGCCCCCTCCCCATCTGCCAGGTCCTTCAGAAGCCATTGTGCGCCATTTTGCAAGCAGTTGCCATTCTTGAATGTTCCAGAAAGGATCCTTTAAGCTTTTAATATGTATGTCTCTCTGTGTGTATCCTTATATTGCAAAGACACATACATTTCCTTAACAGGAACTGGGCATGGCTAGTGGAGAGAAGGACCGGGGAGACATGATAGCAGTCTTCCAATATTTGAGGGGCTGCCACAGAAAGGAGGGGGTCAAGCTATTTTCTAAAGCACCTGTAGGCTAGACAATGAATAATGGATGGAAACTGAACAAGGAGA